GTCTGCCAATAATGGCATAAAAAAGAATAATAATTCATGTTACTTGACATGGGATGAGTAGTTGACAGTTGATTTTATTTAATTCTTTTTAAAATTTCCATTGTATAATTTTATATTTAATTTTATGAGTTATTTAACACAGTATGTTCATAGGAAATATGGGGGTAAACTATGAAAATGAATTAAGGATATGCTGTTGGTGGCTAGGTCAAGTCATAAAGAGTGCTATATTCTGTTAGTATATTCTCCAAAGCCAGTGGTAGGATTCAACCAGTGTTACTACCAGTTCGGTGACTATTTTTTGACTACTCTGCGCACGTGTGTAATAAAACCCTTACCTGTACCACCCACACACAGCTGAAAAGCGCTGCGCGCAGGTGCGCAGCATTTGGAAAGCCTCTTTTTTCATGCTTTTTCAACCTCACCTGTGCCGCACAAAGCAGCTGAGGTTGAAAAAGCAGGAAATAAAGGACAGGTAAGAGCCCAGGCAGGCGGGTGGCCCAAACAGCAGCAAACACAGAACCGGTTCGGTGTCTGCTGCTCTTCAGAGCTACTGGTTCTATAGAGCTGGGCAGAACCAGTAGCATTCCACCCTTGTCCAAAGCACCTGAGGACAGGACAAGAAGCAATGGATGGAAACTAATCAAGGAGAGAAGCAACTCAGAACTAAGAAGAAATTTCCTTTCAGTTAGGACAATTAATCAGTGGAACAACTTGCCTCCAGAAGTTGTGAATTCTCCAACACTGGAAGTTTTTAAAGAAAAGATTGGACAACTATTTGTCTGAAATAATATAGGATTTCCTGCCTGAGCAGGGGGTTGGACTAGAAGACCTCCAAGGTCCTTTCCAACTCTGTTATTCTACCCTGTTCTGCTCCACTGTATTCTATTCTCTATCTATTGCTATAAAATAATGTAATATGCCTTTTAGAAAACTTGACAATCAGAACAGTTTGACAGTGAAAACAGTTGTTCAGGAGAGAAGGTAGGTAGGCTTCCACTCATTGCATGCAAGCGGATACTCATGTCAGTAGAGCAGGGATCTTCAAACTTGAGAGCTTTAAGACTTGTGGACTTCAACTTCCAGAATTCCTCCTTCAGTCATGTTAGCTCAGAAATTCTGGGAGTTGAAGTCCACAAGTCTTAAACTTGCCAAGTTTGAAGACCCTTCCAGTAGAGTATTTTAGTCTGGATTTATGCTTTGAAGAGAGGGCTGGACTCAGTGGCTAAAATGTCCCTTTCCAACTGAAACCAATGATTCAATGTGCCTGATTAATACTTTAATAACTAATAAGGATTAATTAATATTGTATGTAAAATAAACCATTCATAATGTTATAAGTACTGTGCATTCAAATTATCAGCATGCATCAGCTACAGAAATTTTAAGGAACTGTGTATTCTCCTTGAGTTGTGTCTCTTCTATAGGAAGCTTCATTGTGTACTTATTCCTTTTGACCCTAAATTTAGAATAGAATAGAATTCTTTATTGGCCAAGCATGATTGGACACACAAGGAATTTGTCTTTGGTGCATATACTCTCAGGGTACATTAGAAAAAAATACATTCATCAAGAATGTACATACAAAGCAGTGATCATCATAGGATACTAAATAAGAAATCAAATCATACTACGAAACTAAATAAAACAATATAAATAATAAAGATACATGCATTCTAATATCAACATTTGGCCCATTCTTGGTCTACTATTTACAGTTAATTAATAGGGACTTCTTCTAAGACCTGAGCACATGTCTATTAACATTTTTATTTCTCTTTCATATTAAAAAAATCTAGAATTTTCTAAGCTACTCTGCTTTTTAAAAGAAAATATTTTAATTTTGTTTACTAAATTAAGGAGAAATGATATTCCCATTCCAGAGTCATGTGCCAACAAGTCAAATTAGGTCCCATGAGTATAACAAGGCCATGAAGTCATGTTGCCAGATTTTGCTAAAAAAAACCATGGGATTGTTGTTTTCTGTTGGAAAATTCTGCATGGGTAGTGTAGAAGCTGATTTCCCATGGGACATCACTGTTGCTATTATTAAGGAGCCTTATTCTGCAATATGAATAAACGTTTGAGAGACAATGATAATGTATCCAACAACTAATCAAGGAGAGAAGCAAACTAGAACTAAGAAGAAATTTCCTGATACTTAGAATGGTTAATTAATCAGTGGAGCAACTTGCCTCCAGAAGTTGTGAATGCTCTAACACTGGAAGTTTTTAAAAAGAGATTGGACAATTATTTGTCTGAAGTGGTGTAGGGTTTCCTGCCTAAAGAGGGGTTGGACTGGAAGACCTCCAAGGTCCCTTCCAACTCTATTATTCTATTCTATTCTATTCTATTCTATTCTATTCTATTCTATTCTATTCTATTCTATTCTATTCTATTCTATTCTAATAATACTATCTCCATCAGGCACCAATAATATTCAGAAGCAGTCTGATAGAAAACACAGCAACCTAATAGCTATTAACTATTAACATAGCTATCTTTCTTAATTTGGTTTGATACCATTTTAAAGCCATGGAGGCTAGTAATCCTTAAAAAAATGGTGCTGTGCATTATGCTCAGTGAATTACTGCTTTGTCAACACCTGATAAATAGTAGATTTATTGGATGAATGTTAGTTCTGGTATTATTGCAGACAGGTATCTGCAAAACTTTTCCTACTGTTTAGCATTTCATTTATTAAATAGGCTTTTGATCAATAAGATGCTTTGGCATCTTATTTTCTATTGCACTTTGCTACCACTGTAGAGATACTCATGGATTTAACAGCAATTTGTTTAGCAACCTTTTGAAGTCACAACATTACTGGAAAAAGTGGCTTATGCCTGGCCCTTGCACTTATGACCATTGAAACATCTCCATGCTCGTGTGATCAAAATCTGGGTGCTTGACAATCAGCATGTGATTTACAACAATTGCATCCTGGGATTATGTGATTTTATTGTGATCTTCCCAGCTGGTTTCTGACAAGCAAAGTCATTGGGGGAAGTGATTCACTTAATAATCATGGTGATTTGCTTAACAATTATACAAATTGTATAACTGAGAATTATAGAAATAATAAGAAAAGTTGGCTATTTAGAAAAAACAATCAACATCATGACATAGATTTACAGTTACTTTGGTGTCTCAGAAAATTATTGCTGAGATCCCCCAAGTTTCAGATTTTATAAAAGCCCATTTCCCTTTCTCCCAAAAGCTTACAATCTAGATATGCAAATAAATATATATTTGTTTGATTATATCCTTTTGTTTCTTCAGAAATTCAGGAAAGGGTGTGCATGGATATATCCTGACCACCCAAAATATTATTAGATACTTTTACCTGTGGGCCACATCTTCAAAGTGATCAAATATTTACTATATGACACATGAAAAATCTTGAAATATGATAAATAAATAAATGAAGGGAGGGAGGGTGGGAGAGAGAAAGAAAGAAAGAAAGAAAGAAAGAAAGAAAGAAAGAAAGAAAGAAAGAAAGAAAGAAAGAAAGAAAGAAAGAAAGAAAGAAAG